GGATCTCCCCATCACTATCACTTCTCCTTGCTGGACCCTTCCCACAGTGGCAAGCAACGGGAAAGGGGCACAGCCAGTCCAGTTTGGCAGTAGAGACAGACCTCAAGCATGCTTGAAATCAAGGAGAAACCTGGGATTAAATATTGTTTTTAATTATACATTCATGCTTCTTGGTTATTTTCCTGAAGTGAGATCTTTTCCCCTTGATGACATTGTATGGGTTGCAAAATGCACCCTTTCCAATCAGCTTGGCTTCTCTCTGCTAAGCAGGTTATGCCACATCTTTGTGCAGTTCCTTAACCAATCATGCACCTTCATATGCATTTACAGAGATCCTTCTTTTTTATATTTGCATTATATGAAGCACATTGAGTGACACTTGTCTTATTCACTAGGTGATAATTTTTACCCAGAGTTTGAGCCAAGATGCATTTATATGGAGATTGAAATGCAACTAAAAACTGTACAAAAGCAGCACTTTGAAACTGTTTTCCAATAAGTTAGTTTAAAAGTGCCAGAGACATAAAATTAAGTTGCTCAAAACACACTTTGCATTAAAACCAACTGAATTATTAGCTAAGAAACTATTAAGCAGTGATAGGTCCTGCATGGCTTGAAGTGCTCATGTGCAGAGCTCAGTGCACAGCAGCAGGTTGTGAGTGCAAATCACATGTGTGCCATGTCCCGGGGTGCACTTGGACAGGGGGGACACATGGACTCCGCCTATATTGGCTCTGCTCTGGGTTGATTTGATCAAGAGGAGATGTGATACAGCTCTGGGACTTGTCTCTGTGTCCATTTGCACCTCTCAGCCCACCCAGCTCCTCCTGCTGCAGTCTCATTCTCCCTCCCCTCTACAGGCATACGTTGCGCCTGCACCTTTTCTTTTCCTGGAAATACCCACTTTTCCTTCATCAGTGCATTTAAAGGGCATGCTGCAACCTAGCAAGGATTTTTCATGCTGACTCCATTAGCAAACTCTCCCCATTCCCCAGCTGTGCCCCTATATGTACCCTGCACCTGGCAGCTCTCACCTTGCAGCCTAGAGTGCTCTGGCAAAGCCGAGTTCTGGCTCTCGCTCCTGATAAGCTCAAGACATTTGGCCTCTTGCTCTTGGAAATAGTAAAAAACAGTGCAGTCGGGATGCATGGCTCGCACCTGGGGGAAAGGGACAGACAGCAGGACATAGGGCACTAAAAGGACTGACCATTCGGGATATTCACCATTTCTGCTGCAGCCCGCCCTGGGAGAGCCCATCTCTGCATTTGCTCTGACATTTCCCTTGGCATTATACTGCTCACCTTGTAAACACCATAAAGAATGAGGGCAATTATTTCCAGTTCCCTCCAAAAGCATGTGATGCTTAAGGGCACCACTCTGTCAAAATGCAAGTGCTGTATGGACGAGCTTCCAAGGCACAAGGGCCTGACCCCATTAGCAGGGCAGACTGGAGCACATTCAAAGTCAGAGCGAGGAAACTAGATAGTTAGTGATAAAAAAATAAAAACAACACTGATTTGGGCATGTCCTTTGTCTGCTGACTGGGGCAGCTCTGCTCATGTTTGACACCAGGATGGGAGATGTTCCTGGCTCCCATCTGAATCCACCCGTGAGTGGCCAGCACTGTTCTGTGCATCAGTTTCCCCATGCGGAGTTTAATTTGACCACTCATTACAACCCTACCAGCATCTGCTGCAGCCCCTTGGCCCAATACAGCAGATGGGACTCCCTTGCCCATGCCGGGGAATGGCATAGCCACTAACTGTGGACTAGTTAACAAGGCACACTGTTCTCTACAGGGAGCAGCTGGTGTTCAGTTGTTCATGAGGCAGGGGCAACCATGCAGCACCTGACAGGGGCACCCAGCCTCACTGCAGCACCAGGGCATGGTGGGGTGTGCAGGGGGCTGCAGTCTGAATTATGGTACTACTGGGGCTGATGCTCCACAGCCAGTGAGGAGCTGTGGAATGGGGGCAGCCTAGGAGCCCCCGGGGAGCTGTGAAGAAACCCATCTTCAACCTCAAATGAAGCATTTTATATTTCTTTTCCCACTCTCAGGTGCTCTGCTCGCCTGGGGGTGTGAGCACCCAACCCTTCCCCACTTCCTGCTGTCCCAGTGCCAGGGTCCCAGGGACACTCACCCAAGACAGTAGGAGCACAAACAGAAGGAGCAGCAGCTTGCAGGCATCAGGGGGCTGCTGTGGGAGTGTCATGGCAGGAGCAGACCCTGGGCCACCCTGGCTCAGCACCCAATGGAGCAGGGAGAGCCCAGCTCCTCCTCCATGGCTCTGCGTGCAAGGAGGCTCAGCGGGACCCCAGCACTTGGGGTGGCACCCCTCCGCTTCTCCCTGCCCCTTCTCAAGCCTGAATGTCGCAGCTTGGAGCTGGTAGCACCGCAGGCTCCACTCTCCACTCCCCCACCACGCCAGGGGCTGGATGTGCCCAGCAGCACAGGGTAGGGGACAGCCCAGCCTGGCACTGCCCACCGCCCACCAGGACGCTGGCATCCCCTTATCCGCTCCCACCTGCAGCCTCTCACTGGCTCTGTGGATGCTGCTGGTGCCACCTGGCCAGCAAGGATGGGATGCAGGGACCCTGTCGAGAATCATGCTGCTTTCCAGGCAGCTCCATGCAGCACCTAGGGCTAAGACACCCAAAGGCTGCAGTGGCAGAGAGACCCCCAAATACTCGTGAGAGCACATACCCAGGCAGGGGAGCCCTCAGCGCCAGCTATTGTGGTTCTCAGGAGAACCATCTGAGGCCTTCTCTGCATATTTAAGGAAAATTTCTTACCAGTGAGGGTGACAGAGCACTGGAACAGGCTGCCCAGAGAGGTTGTGGAGTCTCCTTCTCTGGAGATCTTCAAAACCCACTTGGATGCAGTCCTGTGCCACGTGCTCTAGGTGACCCTGCGTGTGCAGGGGGGTTGGACTAGATGACCTCTAGGGGTCCCTTCCAACCTTAAGCATTCTACGATTCTATGATTCTATGATTCTATAATATGCCTCAACCTCCATGCTATAAAGCACCTTTAGAAATCCCAGCCCACACCACACCATTTTAATAAAAATAACAAGAAATAATAATTAAAAACAAGGATTGCAGGGAAAGTAGCCGTGATGATACCTCTGGGTTAAAGACCCAGCCTTGGAGCCACAGAGCACACAACCCCCTATTCATCAGGATCACTGCAAGCAGCAGCAAGAGCAGAGACTGAAAAGCACCCAGTGACCCCTGCAGAAAGGAAGAGAAAGCTGATCTGCACTTATATATGGTGTGAGAGGAGGGGAAACCATTCGGGAATGGTGCTTACAGATGATGCAGAAGCAGAGGGTCGAGCACATGCTGCAGCTGTGCAAGAGCTGCACAGGCAAATTCACCTTTGGAGATGCCCCAAGTGCCCTGGAAAGTGCCAGGTACGAGGTACTTATGTAAACACAAACACAGTACGGATCGGTGGTCCTGGTGACTCCACGGCCCAGTGGCCTCCAGCGACCAAGGTCTCCCTCAGAAGTGTGTATCTTTAGCGCCATCTGGTGGCAAACACACGGCATGGCAGTGTCCCAAACTGGTGGGAAATAGCCCAATTTTGACCGTGCCCCCACAATGCAAAAGGTCAGAAGTGGTTTGCTCGGCTTGCAAGATGCCAGAAGAACATTTATGGTGGTTGGGCCGCATCTGGACCCAGCAGCAGCCCTTCCTGCATGCCATGTGGCATGGGGACCCCCACACAATGTCTTGTGGCATCTTTGGCCCCCATCCTGCCCTTCCTCCAGCGAAGATGACCTGGGACAGCTGACAGCTTGACCTCCCATCCTGGATTTGGATCATGGATGTATTCCCTGCTGGCTCATGGCTTTACACATGCAGAGGCACAAATGCTCCTGATTGAGGAGGCCTGGAGTGTTTCATCACGGTGTGCTGGTCTAATGTGTAAGTGGAAAACGTGACCTTATTTTCTGTCTGAGCACAGCCCTCTGGACACGACTCCCTTTGTGAGCCTCTTGGAAGAGACCGTTTTTCTTTCCAGTACAAAATAAACATCAGTTTTGAGGGCCCAGGCTCTGCCTCAGCATGGCTGCGTGCTCCAGGCAGCTGCACAGGGACAGCAGCAGTAGCAACCATGCCAGTCCCCAGCACCGTGCCATGCTGACCTGCTGCCATAGGTCTCCGACATGGGTCATACTGGACTACTTGCTAGTACTGAGTGATCAGCAGTGGGAGGAATTCAGCAGAAAAACACAGGTCCTTGCTGAGGTGACCCATGGGCACCATGACAGCCGGTCACAGGTGGCTCAGGACTGTCCTCATCTGTGTTGAGTGGCACCTGGCCCATTGTGACCGTAGCACATTACATCTCACACCCTTCAACAGGACATCCCATGGGGTGCAAGGGCATTTTTGCCTTTAGGGAGACCAGGAACCTGTGGCACGATGCCCAGGAACCTCTGCCCAGCAGCAGAACCCACTGCATCAGATCCGACATCTGATTATCCCAGGCTCTCATTCCCAGTCTCCCTGCCGATAGCATGAACAGGATGTCCACAGTATCACCCTGCAGAGGTGCCAGGCAGCACCAGGGAATGACCTGTTGGTGGGTTCATAGACAGTGATGAGAAACATCCCTGAAAACTCTGGATCTGGTTGCCACAAGGGTTTGGCAGCTGCCAAAAGTCATTGTGGGTTCCCAGTAACTAAAATGTCTAACAACCTACTAAAGACAGGCTCGCCAGTGAGTGTACACTTGCATCCCTGAAGGATGTGGGAAAGTTCCCTCCTGATGGAAGAATAGCATCCATGGGCACCATCCAGTCTGGCCCTAGCTGTGCTGGGAGGAGCACACGGGGGCTGGACTTACTTTATGAAATCCAGCTTGAGGAAGCTCCTTCCCTTGGCCAGCCCTCCGGGGAGGGTTTGTTTAGGTGCAGCAGCTATAGCAACGCACCTGGCTCCCATCTGCAGCCTCCTCCATCTCTGGTTGCCCATCGCCTGCGCAAACCATGGACATGGGGGAAGCAGGGGACCCTGATGGGACCTGGACAGATACTCCGGAAGGGACCTACATTGCCCCCCATGTGGTAAGCCCTGGAGATGCAGCACAGCCTTATCTCCTGGATTTATGAGACACGCCAGGCTCACAAGGGTGCAGGGTGGACCATGCACTGGGAAAATGGACCTGGACCGGCAGGACAGAGCAGAAGGAGGGGTGGGTGAGAACTCTCCTTCATCTCAGCCCTGATCTGGCCCATGTGCCCGTGGGGCTCTGCAGGTTCCCCAGCAGCCACTGATGATCCTCCAGCAGCTTCCCGGGACTGTCGGTGACCTGACCCAGCCTGCCAGACCACAGCGTGTCCGGGGAGGTGCGTGACAGCAGATGTGGTGGCATTCCCACCCTGCCACCTCTTCGGTGTTGGCCTCTTCTTTTTTTTTTCCCAACCTTATTAGGAGTTAAGTAATATTGTTACAAAAAACAAGTTTTGCCTCCAAGCTGTTTTGCAATGTCAAAACGCGGCAATTTGAGTGTTTGAAAGGGCTTCGCTGCTCTGCTCCCCTTGCCCATAAGCAAACCCATCATGTGCCATTGGGCAGATGATGATTAGTGTCCCCATGGGCCCCCACACGATGAGATGCAAGACAAGGGCTGGGGGACCTCACCACTCACCGTCTCAGGCCTGTATCTTGTGTGTTGACACGGGTGCATGGGCTGTCGGCTCTTGGCAGAGACAGCTGCTCTGTGCTTTTGACCCTTTTTTTGCCTGGCCTGTCTCTTTTTTTTTTTGCCTTTTTTGCCATTTTTTGGCAGCTCTGCCAAAAATGAAGTTTGGGCTAACTCTGGGCACATCAGGGTGTTCCTGGGGGGCAGTTTGGTCTGTTCTTTGAAGTCCACCTGCGTTCAACCTCTGAAATCCCATTTCACGAAGGTGTGAGCCTTCCCTCACATTTACCATCGGAGGTCAGGGAGACCAAGGCTCCTTGGGCATTCCAGATGTGAGTGGAGGAGACACATGCCAGCCCCAGAGCCCCTGTGACATGGCAAGCAGAGCAAAGAAGGATTATCTCCAATGATTTCTCCCAACCTCATTCAATCCAGCATCCAACAAGCTGGCCCAAGAGGGGACAAAGGAGTACAGGGAAGAGCCAGGAGCTCTTGTGGTCCCTGGAAAACACCATGGGGTGAAGCCCAGGTGAATCCAAAGACCATGTGCTCTTGGTAGGTGCTATGGGACCTGCAGCAAAACTTTGCTGCCGTGAAGATGCGAGTAGCTGGTGATAGGCTCAAGAGGCTCCAGTCTGGGGCAGATGAAGCATTTCTGCTGCCCTTTGGAGAAGGGGAGACGCTGGTACGTGATGTGCCTGCAAGACCCACGCACAGCACCTCAGAGGCCTGCAGGAGGGGCTGGTTGCTCACAGCAATGGCCTGTGGGGATGGATGGGATCTGTTAAGAAGCCAGAGCCAGGCATGCTTCCTCCTCCCGGATCAACGCCTGGCTTCAGGCCTGTTCCCTCCTCACTGCTTGGTCTCTGAGCTGAAGCCACCTCCCAAGATGTGCTGTCATGCTCTTTGCTGGAGGCATGGGTTTCCTCATGGGCATTCTAGGAGCTGGATGAGCTGGGCAAGCATGCTGGGATGCGGCCGCTGCACGAAGGGCACAGGGATGCTGCGACCTCCCTTTCCTAGGGCTCCATCTAACAGACGCTCATGAATCTCATGCACAAGCACGATAGCATGCTGCAGAGGACCTTGGAGAAAGTTCCCCCAGCAATTCACAGACACTTGGAGAGATTTCAGCCATCAGCGGAGCTCTCCCATCTGGGGCTGGACCCACCGTGCTCCCTGCGTGCTGCACCTTGCCCTGGGATTGCTGCTGGCCCCTGCTCCATGCTCCCTCCTGGTCCCAACCCACAGACACCAGTGCCTGGAGATAATCAGGAGATCTGTCAAGTCGTTAGGAGGTGCCAGAGCAATTCTCCGAATGGGCGGAGAGTCTAATACCAGTACTCCTAATCACCTTTTTTAACCAGCCTTCAGCAAGACAGACCAGATGTTCAGTCTCATTTTAAAAAAAAAAAGACTGAAATATATGTATTTAAAAGCATTATATAGGCAAAAATCATCTTAAAATGCCATCTGAGCCACCTGGGAGGTTCTGGCTCAGCTCCCACCATGTGGACGCAGGGACAAGGCTCTGCGGCTCTGTCACAGCATCAAGGGGACCTCTGCCCAGCTGTCCCTTCACCGAGCTGCATCTCTCGTGTGCTTGCCCTGCTTTCCTCTCTCTCTGACACAGGGCCCCTTGCTCTCCGACAGATTTAATTGAGTTGCTGATGATTCAGAACTCCCAAATGCACCAGGTGGTGATGAACAGCCTGGTAGTATCAGCACTGATGTCCTTTGGGTTGGGGCCATCTCCATCCTCCGCCCAGGTAAGAGTGTCAGGGAGGCTGGATAATACTGGGGACAGGAGGTGGACGTGCCGTCTCCACCAAGGCTCTCCAAGGACTATGTCCTTAGTGGTGACTTTGCTACACCTAAAGCTGGCTGTCTTGGCTTGGCAGGGTGACCATGCCCTTATGGCATGGCTTTGCTTCAGGGACCCTGTTTTGGGGTTGCTCTCCTTTACATCCACCCTTATTCCAGTTCGTGTCCTTGCAGCTGTGCTTGGAACAGCATTGCTGAATTGTCTCAATCTAAAAACTTTCCAAAATAGCCCCATAGCGCCAGGGAGAACAAATGGGAACAGATGTAGAGATCCCCACTGTAAGGCTGAACTCTCACCTGGGAGAACAGAGTGCTGTCTCCCCACAAGCTGGGTTTCCGCACGGATGTTGCTGCCCTCCTGGGATGCTCCTGACATCCTGACATCCCTCCCGTTCGGAGCTGGCTCAGCTCTGGCTACAGCCTGGATGTTCTCCAGCTGCAAGGCTTTGTGTGGGATAGAGCCCACCCAACCAGGCCCTGGGAGAGCATCTCAGCCAAGCATGGCTTGTGCATGCTCGAGGGAGCTGGGCTGTCTAACGGGGCCACACAAAACTGCTTTGTGTCTCCCTGCAGATGACTGTGGTGCCCTGGCACACTAATGGGGAAGAGGAAGCCGCAGTGTTCCACCATCATTATGTCCCCTACCTCAGCTCTGGTGCCTTTGTGGTTTTGCCAGTCCCAGCACCAGCACAGGCCCAGGCGCCAGCTGCTGTACACTACCTGGGCCCAGTTTCAGCAGCCAACGATGAGGAAGTGTGAGTAATGTTGCGCCACCTGCCACAGGGCTCCATGTTTGTCTGTAAAGGTCCCAATGCAAAGGGACCTCCAGCCCAGGCTGGGAGCAATGCTGGGCCAGGACTCATCCTTGTCCTTGATCCTCTTCAGCAGGGTGGTGCCTCCCCCACCACCACCCAGCGCTACAGGGACCGTGGGAGCCAATGTCCCACCAGCCTCGGGTAAGGACAAATCAACACCATGGGGAGCTCTCTCCCCGCTCCATGCATAAAGCAGCCCTCAATGTGTCCTCCAGATCCCACTTGCAGTCAGAGCCTTTCCTGCTCCCTCCCTCCATCGGTTCCTGAGCGGCTCTTGTGCAGCCCTCGCTGCTGGTGATGCTGGGACAGGACTGCTCCAGGTGCCTCTTTCTCTTTGCAGAGTACTATGACTTGGAGGAGGGCAGGTTGTGAGCTCTGTGCCTACAGAAAGGGTCTATCCTGCATATTCCAGCCCCTGACTCCAGAAGATCCCATCAGAGCAAAGAGAGGTCCTTCAGGCACTGCCCAATCACACTCACCCACCGCCTCAGGATGATGCAGGGGGAAGAAGCGCATGTGTCCGCCAAAATGCACCAGCCTCAGCTGTGTGGAGCCTCTTGCTGAACCTGGGTGACCGCACAAGGCCAGAATGCGACAGGCATTGACTCCATTCCAGCATCCCTGCTGCAGCTCTGCAGTGGAGAACAGCTAGCCCGTCCCCAGCAGGACAGCCCGTTCCTGGCTGAACGATGTGTCTCTACTGTGGCCAGGCCATGAGGACTTTGTATGACAGGCTCAATGTGGGCTGTGCTGTGGCCCCTCGGGAGATGTGGACACCAACCGAGGTGGCCTTGGTCTCCATTAGTTCCTTAGGATCTTAATGCAGCACATTAACTGCAATTCATTTGCTTTGTGAAGGAAGCTGCCTGTTGTAACTAATTAAACATCTGTAACTACCCAGGCTATCGGCTTTGTGCCTGGGTGCAGAGCCCTCTCCAAGCCCACTGCAGTGGGGATGAAGGGGGGCTGTGAGCCTCTCAAGTCTGGACAGAACTTCTGCCTGATGCAGATGCTGGAGCAACATGGATGCTGAGATCACAGACCTGTCAGTGTCCCCTCTGTGCGCTATGGCAATGGTGGAGAGTGGGGGCAGATGCCGTTTGGATATTGCCTTGCTACCCCTTGACTGCCATGTCCCTAGCCCAGTCTCTCCACACCCTGCCGAAGGAATGTCCCGGAGCCTGGAGAGATGGGCAGTAATACAAGGGTGGTTGTAGGGAAGCACATCCCACCCATTTGGGAGCCCACTGAGAGCTGGGGGGTGCAAGTGAAGGTCTGAGTTTCCAAGCTTCCGCAAAACAACTCAGAACTGTCCCGAATCCTGTGTGCCCAGTGAGAAAGCATTAGAATGGGAGGAGAGGCTAATAACAGCCCTGTGCATGCTCATTACACCTGAGTAAACATGTAGCACATTGTGAGCCCTGGCTGCTAACTGGAGCAAGATGTGGCATTTCCTTCAGCACTAGGATGGGCTCAGAGCGGGTGGCAGGGCCCAGACCTGTGCGGTTACTGCCTGGGCAAAGATGGACTGGATCTTGGCAGGGGAAGCGCAGGAGAGCTCCTGCAACCTGGATGGAGGAGCAATGAGGTGATGGGAAGCAGCAGGAGAATGATAACTGATAATCTGGTAATCCTCAGGGTAAGGGTTGGATGTGAAGTAACATGCCAACTAAGAGCTATAACACATCTCACCACAGCGATGGGCATGGACCAGAAGCAGCACCTTCCATGCTGGCCTGCTGAGTCAACCCTTTTTCCTGTGCTGGGGATCACTGCAGATCCTGATCCACCAGGTCCTGATCTCCTGGCATTCCACACGGCTGCCCAGGACCCATCTGTACTCACGATCTTTGCCCTCAAGGCTGGGGTGGAGCAAAGGGGATGTGTGGGCACTTCTTTGGGCAGCAGAGCTGGCTCTATCAGCTGGAAGGCACCGGAATGGCTTTTAATCACCCAGCCAAGCATTTATTGGCAATGAGTCTCTGGGTGACCCAGGATCTCCTGTGCTGTCTCACCTCCATGTTTCACCGCCCACTCTGGCTGATGCGCCTGCCCCAGCCTGAGCCAGTCCATCTCTGAGCCTTTGTACAGAGTAGGAGACACACAGGTCCTTCCCCTGGACCAGCCCAGAACGCCTACATGCTGATACAACCCATTCATCTGCCGCGCTGCTCAGCATGTTCATGCTCAACTTGTCGTGCTGCAGGGGACATTGACTGAGCTCCTCAGCATCCTCCTGCCTTGGCAACATGATGGAGGTGGTCCTGATGCAAGGGCTGCTGCTTTTTCTCCCCTTTGCAGCCCTCTTGCTCTACCAGTACAGTGCCACTGTCCAGTACTTCTGCAAGATGGCCTTCTTCAACTGCTGGCTTGCAGCTATGGCAACCTTCCTCTCCCCCTATGCTGCTCTTCGGGGACGTACTGTGGAGAACATGAAGTGAGTATGGCCTGGGTTTGTGTTTCCATTGTGGAGATATCTGGGGTTTTGCTGTGCAGGAAGAGTTGCGCTGTCTTGTGGACATATGGTTTTTCTTGCCCTGTTATGTTATGGCCAAGAACATGTGTTGCATCCATGTGGTGAGGCCTCTATTCAGCCCTAGGTCTTCGGTGAGGGCTGTGGTCATGTCTGCGCAGTGGTGAACAGTGAATCTGCATCTTATGTGGTGAAGAGGTGCTGGCCACAGTGTGGTGAGGGAGGGTTAACTAGGAAGGAGGTTGCCAGCTGTCTAGACCAGATAAGCTTTGGAGGGCAAGATAGCACAACAATTACTCACGCTCATTACAAAGTTGGGGTTATCAGTTGGGTGACAGATGCGGGGAGTTGGCAAGGTGATGGTGATAAACATTAGCGAGTTGATCAACAGCACATGTACACCCATTTCCAACGTCCTGGCAGTGCAGCCATATCTTCTCAGTGGGAAATTTGGGGACTGAGCTCTGGCCAAAGAACTCTGAGATTTCTCAGCGACATTGTCTCCTGGGTACGATGCAGCTGTGTTGCAGTGAGTCTTGCTCTGCTGTTGCTCTGCAGCAGAGTTGTCAGCTGCACTCCCAGGGAGTGGTGGCAGTGGAGATAACATCACTGTAACATAGGAGGAAGGTCTAGGTGCTTCAAAGGTTTTGCAGTCTTATTACTGGATTTCTGAACATGATATATAATTTTTTCAAGGTGAGAGGTGTCTGAGCCTGTAATATTTGCCAAGTTTAAGAAATCATGTATTTGTGTTGATGTATTTTGGTCCCTTGGCAGGAATGTTTTCAAAGATCTGATGTTATCTGCTGTACTGTGTCACGTCTCTTGCCCTCATCCCTCCTCTGCAGCCCTGCCATGTACACATACTGTGCATGGTATCCAGAGGTGCTCTGAGCCACAGCATGAACATTTCGAGCTTAGTGGAAATACCCCATGTGACCCAGCCTTGAGTCACAGCTGCCGTATCTTGTACCACTGACACCTCACTCCTCTGGAGCAGCATGCCCAGCCCTGTCTCTTCCTCTGTAGCCTCCAAATCACAAAGCCTCTGCCTTGGAGCAAGTTCCTGTCATTAGTCCTGAATGTGGAGCACTGCCACATTGTATTTTCATTACATTTTGCTTCTCCCTAGGCATTGCATCTCTGCAATCTCTGAGTCTACATCTCCCCAGAGGTTCTTTGACACAACGGAGCTCCCTCTCTCTCCTTGTTAGCTTTTCATCCCTGCCTGATGCTGAGGACTTGCTATCAGTGATGTCCCCTGCAGCTGCTGCCAGATGCTTTTGGAGCATTTACTCCTGTATGTCCGGTCCCTTGTGCTTATGCTTTCTATGCCACAAGTCAGAGAATGCCCCATTTCAATCATTTCAACACTGAAAGTTTTGTCTCTACTGTGGGTGTTGTAATCCCATTGCTACATCCTCCTCCCATTCCTCTCTGTATTCTCATATTCAGTGTCATCCTCCATCAAGCACTGACATCCTCATGACACACTTCCTGTCCATCCCTCCCTGAACGGTGACTGCAGTCTTCCTTGTTCCCTTACCATGAGCACGGATGAAAACTCTGTCTGCTTCTGATCCCTTCTAACACAGTCCTGATATGGCCTGTCTTGATGCAAAGCTCTTGCTCAACAGCTGTCACGTGCAGACAATGCAATTATCCCTCCTTGGCCTTGGCAGAGCTTCTGGCAGAGCTGGTGCTGTCGCATGGCTGGCTTTGATTTTGGTTATGTAAGTGCAATTCTTTCCCTTGCCTCACCCCCATTCTCCTCTACACTTATCACCTCCTGACTTATCTCATTTCCTCTCCAGATCCTCTTTGCATAAGGCATGGTGTTGCATGAGTCTCTCCTGCCCTCTCCCTGACTTGGTGCTAGTCACACCGGAAATTTCACAGAGGGAGACTGCATCTTAGAAGTGTCTGTGGGTATCTCTGTGCAGACCACCTTCCAAAACATCTTTTTGCAGGAACATTTGTTGAGATTCCAGCCACCTCTCCTGGAAACAGGGCTAATCCAGGATGACCTCTCTGTCCAGGTTATCTCTGAGAGGTGCAGGCTAAAAATGTGCTTAGAAAAGCAAAGGACCACAGAGCACAGATGAGATTGTAAATGATTGTAGGACCACCTGAGAACACACTATTTACTCAGGTCTAACCCAGCTCATATCACACCTTCCTACCTGAGTGATTATGAAAGGCTGGGAAAAATCAAGAGGATCCCCTCTGTGTTGACCTGCTTCCCACATATATTCTTCTACCCTAGGATCCTGCGTTCTGCTATCCTGCCCCTCAAACACTGCTTTGGCATCAAGATTCGGGTGTTGGGATCTGAGCATCTCAACTTCAAGGAGCCCTATGTGATGGTTTGCAATCACCAAGCTTCCCTTGACCTTATGTGTACGTGCGTGGGAGAGGTGGGACTCATCGATTTATGGGCAACCTTTGGGGTGCTGCAGGAGCAGATCAGGCTCACTCTGCGCTCACTCTCTGTGCCTGGATTTGTACAGGGCAGTGCAGTAGACATGGAGCAGAAAAGCTGGTGGGATGGAAGCTCGGGGCTGTGAGAGTGAGATGGGAGAATGGGAGGTTTCTCCAGGTTGGATGAGAGCAGGCACCATCAAGCCATCAAGAGACTGATCCTCTCCCATCCTTCCTATAGGCATGGTGGAGATCATGCCCGATCGCTGTGTGCCCATTGCCAAGAAGGAGCTCATGTACATGGGCACTGTGGGGTTGGCCTGTTGGCTCAGTGGCATTATCTTCATCAATCGCCAGAAAAGAGGAGACGCTATCGATGTCATCACCCAGACCGCCAGGACCATGCGGCATGAGAACGTAAGGGGGACTAGCAGCAGTGGGGAGTTGAGGAGCAACACAAGAATGCAGGGAAAGTCTGGGGAGGTGCAGGAAAGAGGTACACACTGTGTCCCAGGGTACTCTCGTCCCAGCGGAAGGGCAGGCATTGCTAGCTGGCATCCATGTTCCTATCTCTGTACTGTGCAGCTCCGGGTGTGGATTTTCCCTGAAGGCACCAGGAACCAGGATAAATCCATGCTGCCCTTTAAGCGTGGGGCCTTCCACTTGGCTGTGCAGGCTCAGGTAAGGCCCTTTTTCGCCCACTATGCTTGGGTGGGCTGAGCATGCACCTGGGGTGGGAGTATATAGGAGATTAGAGCCCTTGGGGTCTTTAATGATTTGGAAAGGGCACAACACCAAGCAGAGAGGTGACAGCCTTACTGAATCCCGGGGCCTGGTGGGAGCTGTAGTCCCCTGGGTGTTACCTAAGAAGAAAGGAAGATATATAGAAGATACATCTTCTATATGGAAGATGCACCTTATCCTCCGTCTCTTACAGGTTCCCATTATACCCGTCGTGATCTCCCCATATGGGAACTTCTTCAGCTCCAAGGATAAAAAATTCATCCCTGGTAAGTGGGGGACCAAGAGTACCATTTCCTGAGGGCAGAAATGGCAGCATGGATGGGGCACATAGGAATTGGAGGAGTCTTTCTGAGACATGAGTTGTGGGGCGGCAGCCAGCAGCTAAGGATACTGATGGGACATCTGGGTCCAGGTTTGGGTTTGGGATGGGTTGGGACACCTGGGAGGGGTTTGCTTAACAACCTTCTTGACCTTTCCCTTTTCTCTTCAGGGACATGCACCATCCGAATCCTCCCTAGGATAGAAACCCAGGGTTTGAGCCCAAAGAACGTCCCTGATTTGACAGAGACTGTCCGCATGGCCATGGTTGATGCCTTCTCTGAGATGTCTTCAAATACCTGTGGGAACCAGCAATCCAAGCAGCCTGCCCTCCAATGCAGTGTTGGGGCCAATGCTCTTGAGGGGACAGGCAGCCCACGACATGAGGAGGATGTAACTGGGATCAGCAACTAGGCTGAGGAACCAAGTCCCTCAGCATACAAGGTTGGGCCAAGCTGCCTCCCATACTCTCTGGAGGCATCCACTGGGCTTGCAACCATCCTGACCTCCTGCAATGCAAGATGCTGCCCTGTGCCCTCGTGCACGAGGAAGCTGAGCAGGGCAGGATGGGTGCCAGGCAGCACTGTGGAAAGAGGGCAAGGTGCCTATGGACCCTCTGCAATGGCTGCGCATCCTTTGGTCAGTGCTATGTGTCCCCAAGCCCAAGTCTGGGGTAGCAAGGACAGTTTAACTCCTATGGCCAAGAGATTGGCTTCCATCTGCATGCCAGGCAAGGGACAGAGTTGCTAGACAGACCCTCTCCTTGTCACAGCGAGAACACCACAGACCCCTTGACACACCAGCCTCTTCAGCGCCACATGCTACTGAGGGACAACCCACCAGTTGCAGATGCTGTACTAGCGACACACAAAAGCCACCTGCCCTGAACATACCTGAGATTACGGCCTGCAGAGCCTACAGTTTAGCTGGAGAACTGTGCAGCTGCTACAGGAGAAGCTGCAAGACCTTCTCCAGTTTAGGGGATTTGATGCAACATTTAAAGCACAACTCGGAGTAAGGCTCATCTTGTGGCCTCCTAGGTCTCAGTGCTTCATCCAGAGGAACCTGCAAACCACAGTCCTGCCAATGTTATTCAAGGGACTCTGTTATTGAACCAACTCAGCCAACTCTGGGGTAGGGTGCAAGGTCCAGAGCTCAGTGTCCTGCAGGGGGACAGGAAATAAAGGTGACATTGCCACTTGTGTAAAGCTTTCTCTATGTGGAGCTGCAAGACAAGGGTGTAAGATTAAACCATCTGTAGCTGTTGGCATGTGTGTGGCATCCTGCCTGAGCTGGGGGTACCAAGGGATGGATGGGGAGGGGGATCTTTTCCCTACTGCTATGCTGCATAGCCAGCTCAAAGCACACAGCTCATCCCCATGGGCTCAAAGCTTCCACTGAAGACATGGACAGGGCTGATGTGAAGAGCATCTGCTAGGGTGGGAGTTGCTCTGGGGAGGGCCTGGTTAACCTTCAAGGTAGGACCCTCGGCAGGGGAGTGGTACCTGGCTAATGGCCAATTTAAACAGGAGGGATTAGCACCCTGTGGTGTCGGGACCTGATCCAAACAGAGCCATCCTTTTCATTGCCGCTACCAGCCTTGCAGGACTCCTCTGAGCTCCTGAGGTCTCCTGGCCCATTCCCTGCAGCTTGGCAGGGTTTTGGGGGCGTTCTGGTCCCTTTCCTGTGAAACAGTTCCTGCCACAACCATCCTGGGGTGACAGCAAGGCAGAGGGAAGGGCAATGTGTGAGTATCCTCAATGTTGGGTTCTTCCCTTCCTGAGGCTTTACTGCGACCTCTCCAGGGCAGAGGAAGCTCAGGCTTAGGCTACTGGGTTCCTTAGCCATGGTCATGTCTCAGCTATTCTCTGGGCTGGCTTCTGATGAGGACTGTGCTTGGTGTTCCCTGCCCCATGTTAGGACCCCATGGTTAGACCTCCGCACCCCAATTCAGCTAGCCTACATCTTTGGGCTCATAAGGAGCACAGAGTGGACAACCTTCTGCAGAACCTGCATGGTTTCAGCAACATCCCTGAAACGATCTAGCTGTCACCAGCCAGGTGTTGATGGGCCACTGGGCATGGAGGTGTCCCAAACCAGCTGCATAGGCAAAATCCTATCCTCTCCTTGTCCTCTACGGTCTCCCATGGTACTTGGGGTGAGTGGTGCTCAGAGAGGGCATGACATAGGTCCAGTGTTCAGAGACTTTAGCAGTGAACCTCTGAGAAATTATACTGAGGATGTGCAACTGCATATTTTTCAGCTTAATAGGGCATAATTTCTAATTTCTCTAAGCAGAGCTGCTTTTACTGAAATTTTAGAGACAGAAATAAGCAACTCTCTTTTGACATAATTCCTGCTCTTGGTGTGCACAGAGGCCCCAGGAGGCGGCATGAAAGCCCATAGGGTCCCCCCTGCCCAGTGCGCACGCAGGCCCCGGGAAGCTGCAAAAAAGCCTGTAGGCCCCTTGGGCCCAGAGACAAGGGAGGCCCTGGGAGGGCGCATGGAACCTTGTAGGGCCCCCCTGGCCCCATGCGCACGGAGGACCTTGGAGGACAAACAAAAGCCTGTATGGTCCTCCCGGGCCGAGTGTGCACAGAGGCCCCAGGAGGCTGCACAAAAGCACACAGGGCCCCAGGGCCTAGTGTGCACAGAGTCCCCAGAAAGCCTCACGAAAGTCCATAGGGCATTCCTTGCCCCATGCACTCGGAGGCCCTTGCAAACAGCATGAAAGCCTGTAGGACACCCCCAGTCCAGGGCACAAAGAGGATCTGGGTGGCGGCACGGAAGTCCGTAGGGCCCCTCTGACCCAGCGTACACAATAGCCCTTGGAGGCCAAACAAAAGCGCGCAAGGCCCCCCTGGCCCAGTGTCTATGGAGGCACTTGGAGGCTGCACAAAAGCCCATACGGCTGCCCAGGTCCAGTACATATACAGGTCCTTGGAGGGCAAAAACCCATAGGGCCCTCCTGTCCCAGTGCGCACAGATGCCCATGGAGGCCAAACGAAAGCCCGGAGGCTCCCCCCGGCCCAGTGCATACGGAGAACCTTGGAGGCTGCACAAACACCTGTATGGCCCCCCTGGCCCAGTGCACCAGGAGGCCCTTGGAGGCCTCATGAAAGCCTGGAGGGGACCCATGGCCCAGTGCACATGGAGGCCCTTGGAGGCTGCACGAAAGCCCGCAGGGCCCCCCTGGCCCAGTGCACACGGAGGCTCTTGGAAGCCGCACAAAAGTCCATAGAGCCCCCCCGGTTCAGGGTGCACGGAGGGTCTTGGTTGCCACACGAAACCCCGTCGGACCGCATCGGGCTAGTGAGCACCAAGGTCCTTGGAGGCCGCAAGAAAGCCTTTAGGGCCCCCCGGCCTTGTGCGCATGGAGGACCTTGGAGGTCACACGAAAGCCTTTAGGGCCCCACGGTCCAATGCTGACGGAGGCCCCATGAAAACTTGCAGGGTGCTCCTGGCCCCGTGTGCTCGGAGGTCCTTGTAAACAGCATGAAAGCCACAGGGACTCCAGGCCCAGTGCACAGGGAGGCTCTTGGAGGCCACACAAAAACCCGTAGGGCTCTCCTGTCCCAGTGCACATGAATGCCCTTGGAGGCCAAATGAAAACTGACAGGGCCCCAACGGCCTAGTGCGCACAGAAGCCCTTGGAGGCTGCACAAACACCTGCATGGCTCCCCGGCCCCGTATGCCCAGAGGCCCTCGGAGGCCTCATGAAAGCCCGTAGGGGCCCCCAGGCCCAGTTCCCACAGAAGACCTTGGAGGTCAAACCAAATGCCGTATGGTCCCCCCAGACTATGGCGCACGGAAGCCCTTGGAGGGCAAACGAAAGCTCATGGGGTCCCCAAGCCCAATGGGCATGGAGGCCAATGGAGGCCACAAAAAAGCTGCTAGGGCCAACCCAGCTCAGTGCACACGGAGGCCTCGGGAGGTCGCCCGCAAGCCCAGCCCCCCCACCCACCGGCCCAGTGAGCACGGAGGCTTTTGGGGGCCAAATGAAAGCCCGTAGGGACTCCCTGGCCCAGTGCACATGGAGGACGCATGAAAGTTTGTAGCGTCTCCCTGGTTCAGGGTGCACGGAGCGTCTTGGTAGCCACACGAAATCCTATTGGACTGCATCTGGCCAGTGACCACCAAGGCCCTTGGAGACCGCATGAAAGCCCATAGGGCACAATAGGCCCAACACAGACTACTCAGGAGGCCGCACAAAAGCCCACTGGGCCCTCTCAATGGGTCACCTTACAATGGGCCACCTCACAATGGGCCCTGGAACTGCCTCACAATGGGCCACCTCACAATGGGCTCCCACTTACCTCACAATGAGCGGCATCACAATGGGCCCCAAGCTACGTCACAATGGGGAGCCTCACAATAGGTTGCCTCACAACGGGCCGCCTCACAATGGGCCTCGAGCTATGTCACAATGGCCCGCCTCACAATAGGCTGCCTCACAAGGGGCTCTGAGTTACCTTACAATGGGCCGTCTCACAATGGGCTCACAACGTCTGGAGCTTGGACATATATGGCGCGACCTCTCACTTGTTGTGAAACATGCTTGTGGAGAACCCGGCGCTAAATCATTCGTAGACGACCTGATTCTGCATCCTTGTTTCGTATGTAGCAGAGCAGCTCCCTCGCTGCGATCTATTGAGAGTCAGCCCTTGACGCAAGCTTTTGTTGGATGGATAGACCTGCCTGTGCCCTTGACTTTTGCGCCGAGGCGAAAGGGGTGGGGGGAAGGGGAAAGGGACAGCGGGGGACGCTGGCGCTGTTGGCTAGGCGGCGAGACCTGGCGCCTGCGCCGGCCAGTCAGGTGGCGCAATGGATTTTGCTCCTCCCCAACCTCCCAGCCCCGGCAGCTGAAGAGCTCTGTGTAATGGCGGGAGGAAGGCAAGGTGCGAGGGAGCCAGCGGGGCGAGCAGCCCCAGGGCGGTGGTGTATTGGAGGTGGAAACTTCTTGGATTACCACTACTGATGGCAAAAGGAACTTTACCCACAGCGGTCGGGGTCCAAGTGCTTCCTACCATAGTCAAGGGCAAGACTCAGTTGGCCTCTTTGTTTGCCACCAGGAAGAGCCTTAAGTTCTGCTATTGGCTGCAACCCAATAGGTGTTCAGCCTATGAGGGACATAAGCCATACCAGACCTTGATGTGAGTGAGGGTTATTTCTCTTTTTCTAAGCCATTTAAGAGGCAAATGTGCGCTAAGTGACCCACTGTGGATGCTTATTTTTGATCTCTACAGATCATGGGGTGGCATGTATTGGAGATGGAAATTTCTATGATCTGTAGAGCATGGTGTGAAACAAAATCCAGATGTTGAAGGGAAAACACTCAACCTTGATAATGCTCAGCAGAGGCCACTAACAAAGAAAGGTTGTAATACCTGGATCCCTGAAGAAGAATGAAAAGC